GTCCCTTCGGGCACACAACCCAATTCACTCCCTTTGGCGTACCATCCAAGTCGCCCTTCTAAAATGGTGTGCCAGAGGGAACGGTTTAGGTGGTACGCCAAGGGGTGACTTGGATGGTACGCCAAAGGGAGCGAGTTGGATTGTGCGCCAAAGGGGGCAGCTTAGGTGGTTCATATGGTAGATCACCATGCTCACTGTGATATAGGTATTATATCCCCCTCAAACTCAAATAGGTTTGTAGATAGAAACCTATTTGAGGTTGAAACAGAGGGAAAGACAGTGGAGCATAAATACACAAAAAAAAAAAATGAATTTCAAGTAAAACAAAATATATATATATGATAGAGATATTTGGGATAGGAATAAACTAGTGGATAGAGGAAGAGATCACCACGAAACAATACTGAAAAAAAAATATGGCAGTAGAATGAGTTAAGGTCTGGCAAACGGTCAAGGTAAGGCTGCTGCCCGCCAGTGAAGCAAAATTACAAGGTATTTAAGCTAGCTTTGATACCATGTTAGAATAGTAGAGAGAGATAGAGAGAAAATAATATGTATTGTATTCAATGAATTTATTCTATACAATAGAATGCCTGTATATATAGGTTGAGAAATAATATCTTACTAGAAATCTAAATTTGAGAAGGAGCATCTTACAAGAAACGTAACTATGGTTATTCCCAAATATATATAAGAAATCAATACCTAATATATTTAGAAATATATACCATATATACCATATATACATTAACATTTTGAAAGACAATTGTGTATTTTACAATTAGATCCAATACATTACCTTGTAGACAGATCCAAATCCACCTTCACCAATTTTGTTATCATAAGAGAAATTGCTCGTGGTGACTTGAATTGTACCCAAATCAAATTGCAAGGATTGTGCTGTTGACATTTCGTCCCCAACTGGACACAACAAAAACTAAATATAATGAATTTGAAAACAAGTGAGGAAAAGAACCTAGATTTTTTTTTTTTTTTTTTAAAAGTCATACAACTATCTGAGTCAACAGCATCACATTTCTTCTTCGCTTTCCTACATATGAAAAACAATCCTATACTGACAAGATAAACAGAGCCCCCGATTGAAGCAATGATGGCAATGAGTACTTGTGATGAGATACCGCCCTTTCTGTTGGGATCTGGGATCCCGCCCAAGACCTTATAGAAATTATTCCATGCAGAAAAACACACCCACACTCAAGGTGACACAATATTTAACGTGGTTCGGCCTCAATGCCTACGTCCACGGGAGAGTAGCCGGTTATCACTATAACAATGGGGATATTACAGAAAGATTACAATAGAGGAGGAGCTCACACTCTCCTCACTCACCCACTCATCCGTCTCCCTCGCTCACACCGAGGGAGACGGTCTCTCCGCCTCACATATCTCACTCTCTGTGGCTTGCTCTGCTCTCTCTCTCTGTTCTCCTCTCATCCATCTTAATTTATACACTTCAGAATGGTGGATGGAGGGGCTGGCCAGCACATGGCCAGCTTGTGCCAACTCCTTCTTCACATGGCTAAAGGTTCTTCTTGCGTTGGCTTCCTAACATGGCCAGCTCATTTGTGTTGGCTTTGCAGGTTGGAAGAAGTTGCAGCACATGGAGAAGATAATCACCCTTCACATGGGGTGATATCTAACAAATCACCCCCTTAACCCATGTGAGGTAATCCACTGTACACATTGCTGCTAATCTTGTCACGCCCAAATTCAACACAGTTTGCATCTCCTCACTGAGACGCTGCATCCCTTGAAAGCTAGAGACAATACACCAGAGATACAGGAGGTGGAGGGAATCCTACATCCTCAAGTCAACTCACACCACTCTCTGATTTGGAGAGAACCGCTGCTCCTATCTCCTACAGATCTCTTCCACGCTTCCTGTCTCGGATGTCTTCAACATAGTCTGCATCTCCTCACTGAGATGCTTGCACCCCCTAAAGCTAGAGATAATACACCAGAGATATAAGAGGAGGAGGGAATCCTACGTCCTCAACTCAACTCACACCACTCTCTGATTTGGAGAGAGCCTCTGCTCCTATCTCCCACAGATCGTTTCCACGCTTCTGTCTCGGATGTCTATACCTGCTATGCTTGAACTTGCGCAACCAAGATATCCAACACCCCCTGATTGGATGTCCTGCACCCCCTGCTAGGATGCCCTTGATTGTCATGCCTTATCTCGCAGGACCAGTCATTGGAGCAATAGAAAACTCATTGTGTATCCCATTAACGTCCTCTGTCTTCTTTGCTCGGATTTTTCCTTTGAACTATCCTGAACTATCAGCATTTGCCCTTTGCACTCTTGAACAACTTCCCATCGTTTCCACACACTTATTGTTCGTGCCTTTTGCAATCCCTGATCTCCAATTCAACGATATGCGTTACATGCGTATCTATCACTTGTACTACCAGATAATGGTTGACAGTAGCTCTTTCTTCCAAAACAACTTCAACAAATCTATACAAGTCACCAACTATGCAACACCTAGCATAGTACCTGCACCCATACTTCTTGAGTGCTCATCGTGGCTCCATCTCTCCTTCTACGCTCGAGCTCGCCTGAGAGATCCGCAACAACTTTGTTTCATTAAGAGGTGCGTTCGCTGCCACCGAATCAAAAACCGATACCATAACCCACGTATCCAACCATTCAGTCAAACTGAATGCCATCTACTGTACAAAACACAAGCGCTTTTCCACAAAACACAACAGATTCCATTGCTCAAAATCACATTGAGCCAATGCAAAGAACATGCAGAACCAATCGAGCTAGCTCTTCGATTTTCTGCAACTCAAGCTCCACCATAATGCCAAGTTCCGATTTCCTAGGCGCCAAACAAATTATCCTTGACAACTCCAAACAAAACATGGTGAGCAACCCGCTTGAACCAATGCTGAGGGAACTAAACAAAAGAGGCTTCAAATTCTCCGTCAAAGCAACTTTGAAAGCGGTACCAAAACCATCATGTCCGATCAACCATCGAACATAATACTGCTCTCTTCAAGCTCGATTTAATCAAGAGAGCCAAACAAATTCTCCGAGAACTGAGGCAAGTTCTCCACCAAACAAAACTGGACTGTGGACGCAGTTAGGCTCTAACTAGTTCAGAAGTATCGAAACAAACTTCAAATGAACTTACAAAATACCAAGAGCCAAAAATTCTGAAGTGTCGAGCAAACTCCAGATTCCTCCAACTGCCATTCCAACCGGCAAACACAAGATGATGCACCATCTTCACAGTTGCCAAAAACTCATCCAAAGGCGCGTACACCGTAAATGCACAACTCCAACAGTCCCCGTTGACTCCACCGAGTCTGCAAACGATCTATCCCCTCCAAATCCAACGGCAGATTAAGGGATGGATCCTAACACATGAGATTGATAAAATCACCATCTTCATGTTTCTCCGCAACAATCTCTTCCAATCTTTAATGAACACCAACGGTCAAACCGCTTCCAGAGAAGCAAACACCCGGAGTCTGAATCGTCACCCAGACTACCAATAGCTGATATCTTCGAATATGGAACAGATTGTGAAAATGAAAATCCGCAAGAAAAAGATACAATCAAGTCTCACAAACCAGAGACAACCCAGGATCTAATTAGACATGCTTATAGATCCCAACTGTGATAATGAATCTCAATAAACCACGACTCTGAAAATTGCCAGTAATCCGTGAAAGACCGCCAACAACAATGCCTCAAATAGACATTGAACAAAAAACGCCAAAGCTCCACCAAGATCTGAAGTAGATTGTCACACTTTCTCCTTCAAATCGACAAATGCGGAAACCAAGGCTTCACTTGTTACACCTTCTTCAAATCGACAAATGCGGAAATCAAGGCTTCACCAGATGCGACGTTTCCAACAATGATCCATGAAGGATCTCCAACGCCTCCACAGAGGCCAATGCCAATAAAGTACTACCATTTGGACTTATTACATATGCCAAATCTCCGTAGTACACTCTGCCAATGCTGGTTCTCTCTATCCCCTAGAGAAAAACCCAAATGAACTCTGAAGTTCTGTAACTAACCTAAGAGTCTCCAAATGAACTGATAACTTTTGCAACTGACTCTGAAAGGTCTTCAATTGGCTTCCAATTGGCTTCAACCGGGTGAACTAAATTTTTCACCCCCATCACCCACATGGATGATAAAACACCGTTGTACAAATATGCCTCCATTCCACTGAGTATCCGGAGTGAATCTACACCTCCTACTTGGAATGTCTTCAACCGCCACACATCATCTTGCATGGCTCGCACCTCTATCACCAGGTACTTACATCTTCCAATAGAATGCTCACCGTTTCCCTGTTGAGATGACTCCACCCAAACTCTCTGGGTGCCTGTCGCGACTTTACTGCCACGAACCAGATTCCGGACAAAGAAAGAGATTTGCCTCTCCCTGGGTGCGCATTGCAGCGTCTTATTCCTTTCAATTTCTTTGTCTGGAGCTTTCTTCTGTGAACTAGTTGATGCTGCCAGGCCAAAATCCGGCACACTGCACCTTTGTATGATTTTGCTGCGTACTCTTGCACTGTTGTATGCTTGCACCTTGTATGACATTCCTGTGTACTCATCTGTGCTATTGTGACTACGTGCTCCTACACCTTATATGTGCACTGTTGCAGCTGTTGCCCTTCTACGTTCACATACTACCGGTACTTCTTGTATTATGTTTGACAGTAGCTCCAACTGCCACAACATTCCTATGAGCCTGTACTAGTTGCCAATCATCTATCTGATGAGGTGGACTTCTGATTGAACCAGATCTTCTGATCATATTCAACAACCAGGAAAGTTCCCAGGAAAGACTGGTGGGGTCACAACTGGTCCCACTTAAGAACCAGTCTCCTTAGACAGTGTCTTTTTTACAAAACTTTCCTAGACATTGTTGATCTTGAGATAATCATGTGCAATTCTTCTGATTGCCCTTGACCAATCCTAATCTCCATTGATTTGCCATTTGATTAAGCCTGATCTCCTTTGGTCTTCAATGATCTATCTCGATCTGTATCTGGTTGTCCAATCTGGTTAGAATCTGCCCATTCCAACCTCTTCAGTGAATCTGCAGCGTTCCACAATATCCGGCAACCTCCCTTCGAGTATTGAAGATGACAAACTCCCATGTTTTGACAATCTTTCCAAACCGTTCAGAATTTCACTATTCTGACCTCGCGGTTGCGTCCGGAGCGGTCCGTTTAGCTAGAACCAACCTTCGCTGCATTTCCGGGGACCTCACTGAAAACTATCCCCGAAAGCTGGGCCACACCATAATTTTCTGAACATTCTGGGCCAAATTGCAATTTTCTGAAGTTTAGGGAATATTCCGTGTTCCAACAGAATATTCCGTCCGCTGCACCTAATGCCGTTCGTCTATTTAATCTGCTTTCTTTTTACAGAAACTCCGTCTCCAAAATCTGACCATACGGATGTGTCCGGAATACTCCAAATAGTTGGAAACCACTATTGGATCACCAAAAACGGACTCCAAATGGCTTCGATCTAGCCAAAACATTTTGTACACCTCAGATCTGCGGCTGCACCTTAGTCGCGAAGCACTGGATCCTTCCTCCTGCGGCTACACCCTTGCCGCGTCGCACTGGATCCCTCCTCTGGATGCTGACGTGGCAGCTGACATGGCACAACCGTGATGACGTGGTGCTAACATTGCTGCCACGCGTCGATGACCTGGCTGCTGACGCTGCTGCCACGTGGATGACACGTGGCGGTGATGATGACACGTCGCTACTGACGTGGGCTCGCATGGCTTGCGCGTGGTGGACACGCGCTACTCCCACTCATCTTCTTCTTTCAGCCGCGCGTGGGGTGCGTGCGTGAGACTGGGCTGACGCGCCGACTGTCTTCACGGTGCGTGGGGGCGAGTGCAGAGACTGGGCCTCACGCGCCTTATTCAGGAGGCGCGTAAGGGCGCGTGGGGACTCCTCTGGGTGTCTGCTTTATATGGTTGGACTCCTCTTCTCGGGCCCTTGCTCCTGGTATGCTCAAAACCTGATTTTGAGCAACTTGATTTCTGGGCAGTTTCAAACAACACGCTGTTTTTGTTCCGAAACGCCACCAACGAGGCTCTGATACCACTTGTTGGGATCTAGGATCCCGCCCAAGACCTTATAGAAATTATTCCATGCAGAAAAACACATCCACACTCAAGGTGACACAATATTTAACGTGGTTCGGCCTCAATGCCTACGTCCACGGGAGAGTAGCCGGTTATCACTATAACAATGGAGATATTACAGAAAGATTACAATAGAGGAGGAGCTCACACTCTCCTCACTCACCCACTCATCCGTCTCCCTCACTCACACCGAGGGAGACGGTCCCTCCGCCTCACATATCTCACTCTCTGTGGCTTGCTCTGCTCTCTCTCTTTGTTCTCCTCTCACCCATCTTCATTTATACACTTCAGAATGGTGGATGAAGGGGCTGGCCAGCACATGGCCAACTTGTGCCAACTCCTTCTTCACATGGCTAAAGGTTCTTCTTGCGTTGGCTTCCTAACATGGCTAGCTCATGTGTGTTGGCTTTGCAGGTTGGAAGAAGTTGCAGCACATGGAGAAGATAATCACCCTTCACATGGGGTGATATCTAACACTTTCCTGCATTAACAAGGAAATTTATGTTCAAATTCCAAACTGAGTCTATATGTTTTGTTTGGAATTTACCTGGACTGCTCGCAGGACGAGGACGTGGGGGAAGAAGGACTGGTGAAGGCGGTGGTGAAGTGTCGGTGACGTTATAGAAACGGTAGAACTCATACCTAACATTACAACTCGAAAACAGAACCTCAGCATCCAGACTTCCATCAAAAGAGCTCGGAATAATGGAGATAGAAATTCCAAGGCATTTATTGCAATCCAAAACAATCAAGTCCGGCGTGAACTGCGCTAATCCATACAACGTTTGAAGAAACGAGAAATTAGCCTGACCCATCGTGAACTTCTTAGACGACCGACCATTCGAAGCCCGTGTCACTATATCATCCATTAGACCTCCCAACACTCCTCTGAAACTGGTTAGGTTCGTTATGTTGAGGGTATTACTTACACACGATATAATTGACTCATCGGCAATATCGATGATGGATTGGTTCGAGTATCGCAACATGCACTCATCGTACCAAATCGTAACAACCTTTGAATTTGGACATTTTTGTAATACATCTCTAGTAGCAAAGGAGACGCAGTTTTGACAGACCGTGGTGGAAACATCACCGCGGCAGAGTAAGCAGCCGTAGGCTATATCGAGGGGGTTGAGGCTGGCGTAGGAATAGAAGAAGCCATTGATGGAGGTGGAATTGGAGGAGAGGGAAGAAGAGGGTGTTGAGGTTGCATTGGTATGTGCGAGTGCAAGTTGTTGTTGTGTCTGTGGGCAAAAAATATCTACGAAAGTTGGGGTTGCTTTGATTCTGAGGCTTAGGCAGCAAATTAGAATGCAAAGAAACAAAAGAGATGAGGAGATATTGAAGGATGAGTTCATGGTGATCAAACACTGCATTTTCGAGCCCCTCTAGGCATACTTATAGGTGGGGACAATGGAAATTATTGTCAACGTCTACAAAATTAAGGAAATTGAAATAAATACTCATTTTCTACACCTATTTTCTATATCTGATGCCTTTTAAAAAATAAAAAAATGATATATAAGTTCACTTTTTAAACTCGTTTTCTAAACAAAAAAATGTTTAAGATCCATAAAAATCTTTCTGGAATTTAATCCACAATGACGTGGCTAATACATGCTAATTTTTTATCTGTTAGATACTCAGAGTTCCTTTGGGAAGTGGGTTAGCTTTTTGACTTTTTTGGGTTATTTTAGCCTGGGGCTAAAAAGTCTAGTTTGGGAAGGGCTTTTGGTTTTTTTGACTTTTTTGTGAGAGAAAGAATGTAATGATTATGAGTTGGATGTGATGTTTTGTCTTACTAAGCTAAAAAACATATTTTATTTTTTGTAACTAAAATAGCAAAAAAAGTCCCTAGTTGGGCTTCCCAAACGAAGCCTCAATTATATAGTCTACCTCTTTTGCTACATCATTGTGAGTAAATTTAAGGATTCAAATTATAGGTCTCTAGCATTGCTATTTTCTAGGCCTAATGATATGTTAATGAAATGATTAATTAATAATTAAAGAAAATATAAGAAAATATTAATTTACATATTATAATTGATTGTCACCTTATTAAGTATAAAATTTTTTAAACTTAACTTAATAGATGACATTTATTTTGAGTACATTCTGTACATCCGTCATTTAAATTTATATCATACCCTACACTTTATTTTTAAAAGGGTAAATTACAGTGATAATCCCTATAGTTTTTTTTTTTTTCATTTTGGTCTCTATTGTTTCAATTTGATCAATTTTACCCCTTAATTTTACAGATTGTGTCATGTTAGTCTATTAAATAACGGCGGTCAAGTTTGATGGATGAAAAATCAAATGATGTTTCAATTTGGTCCCTGTAGTTTACAGGATGTATCAATTTGGTCCATTTTGTTTTGACTTTCCGATAAACTATAAGGAGCAAATTGACACATCCTATAAATTACAGAGATCAAATTCAAATAACATTTGGTTTTTCGTCCACCAAACTTAATCGTCATTATTTATTAGACTAATATGACACAATTCATAAAATTAAAGAATAACATTGATCAAATTAAAATAACAAGAACCAAAATAATAAAAAAAATTATAAAGACCATTTACATAATTTACCATTTTTAAAATACAAACTTTGAATGGATAGCATTTTTGGGAGGAAATTGAAGAAAAAATGATGCTGGCTGCTGAAGACTTTTGATGGGAACAGAGTGGATATCAGGTTTGTCTATTCCGTAGAACGAGGTCAGAATTCAATACTTTTGATGGGGACACAAGTGGGATTGTGGATTGGTAATGTTGAGAGTTTGGGATTTTCCTTGCAGTAACATCATATAGTTATTAAGAACTTGTCAATGGCTCATTGGACTATATCCAAGTCAAAACTCTGGGCTAAACTTTCTGTTGGTAAAGTAGTATTGGGTTATATTTAATTATCACAGATATCAAATTTGGGGTTAAGATGTATTAAATAGTTGACTTTCATGAACTAAAAAGGACTAAGTTTTACAATTCGAAGTGTGTTTCTCTCAAATTAATTTAAGAAAACTTAAAGGAGTTTGAAAGATCATTATGAATTTCGTTTTAATAATTTAGGTCAAGTTTGGCATATACAAAATAATTCATCTTTTTATTTTTTTATCTTTTTTTCATCACATCACCTCTCTACTTTTTTACACATTTTTTTTGTAAAAAGACAAAAAGTACACTTATTTAGGTTATCCCAGACAACCCCTTAAATTATTATTTTTTTATTTTGTTTTGTAGAGATATTTATATTTATCATTCATGAAAAATATTAATCAATTCAATAATTATAACATTTTTATTTTATTATATTTATCTTATAAAAATAAATGATTTATTTTTAAGAACATAGTTGTAATCTATTTTTTTAAAAAGAAATAAAATAAAATAAAAATATCACAGTTATCCAATCAATGATATTTGTTATAAATAATATACATAAAAAATCTTACCAAATAAACTGTTTTAATTACTCCTATTATTATGGATGGCTGCCCTTTTTATGTCTAGAGAACCAGATGCATATAATATGAGGGAAGGCTCCACATAATATAATTGTTTAAATTATACTTGTCGTATGATCGGAAGCATGATTACACAACCCATCTGTAATCTTTTGTAAAGAGATGAATGATTTTTGGTACCAATAATTAATCTATTTTAAGAGACTAATAAAACAAGAGAAATTTTTAAAAAATAGAGTACAGCACCAACAAATTCCAAGTTTAGGTCTTGTGAACCATTTTATCTTAACTTTTATTTGTTAGACCCATAAGTCCCATTTCAATGTTAATGGCATATTTGTGCAATATTGAAGCGCGTGTTGACAAGAAAATAGGGATATATGTGGGCTTTTATCGATGTGAAATTTCCATTTATATCCAAAGTCAATTACTGTAGAGTTTTTTGGTATTCCTCCTTTCCGATCATACCGGTGGGGATGAAGATGGAAGGTTCTTTTTTTGCAATGTTGGGTTGAGGAAATTTTGCCAATTTGTTCCACATCCAAATTTGGTAACGTTGGATAGTGAGTGTTGATTGACCCAATTTAACATTAGGGTGCATCAGAAACCCCAGAAATACGAAACCCCTTTCCTAGAAGTGTGCTGCCAGTGTTTCTTCGATGCTGCGCTCAATCGATTGACGTTGTAGTTGACGTCGACGACGTGTTGCTGGCCTGTTCACATCCTGATTTCCACATTGGTCAACAGCTGTGTTGTTGAACAATGACTCTAGGTATTTGTTTGTGATGGTGTTTTGCAATGTAGAGTGTTGTGTAAGTGTGGGTGGGTAACATTGGATTATTTGTGTTGTATACTTGTACTATTGTAATGTTGAATACTCTGTCTGGCATGTTGGTCTATGGTAATTGTATTGTGGGCTTGTAATGTTTTCCTGGTTGATGTCGTATAGCTCTTTTTTTTTTTTTTTTTTTTTTTTTTTGTTTTTTTTTTTGTTATGATTCTTTTTTTTTTTTTAACATTCGTATAAGAGTTATGTTGGTATGTTGGAGTTCTGATGCTAATGTCGATACAAGTTTCATCCACATATTGTGCATGTTATTCTGTGCGATGTCAGTTGCGTACGTGGTGTTGGGTGTTGTCTGATTGAAAGATGGGGATGAGACCCTTGTTGTTTAGATGTCCCTGTCATTTATTGCGTTGGTTTGGTCATTGTGTCTCTAGTTTTTTGAGTTTGTTTATGGTGTTGATGACATTGAATGTTAGTTATGACGTTAGTGGATAATGTTTGCATTCGTCTACATCCGTGAAATGTATATTTTGTACATGCTTCCACATTGGGTTGTGTAACTTTTTAAATGATGTGTTTGCATCGTGGGCATAATGTGTAGTGATAATGAAAACGATGTAACATAAAGTGTGACATTGTTGGTATTCCCTCTTGTGAGGTGCAATTTCGCTAGCGTGTAATTCATTGGTTTGGTCATTGTGTTTGAGAACATTTGGGCCCCCCTCGTTAGGTGAGGTTGTTTATGTTGTTTGAATAAAGTGTTAATGACTACAAATGTTGACTAATGTTTCTGATTTTAACATCCACGCATGTGTCCTTCTTACATGTACAATATTTGCTTTGGTGTGGTGTCAATGTGTGTGTCAATGTGTTGTCAACTGGCTCCCATTTTGTTTACACTTGGATTGATGTGGTGTTGTGACAATATTTGCAGGCAGTGCAGGACAACAGTGCTCGAAACGAAAGGCAAGTGCACAAATAACCCGTTCAAATGTATAAGTCCAAATATCAACCTGACTGGGCCTTACGAGACAAACACAACTTCCATTCAAGAAGAAGAAAAAGAACAGCTAGCGTAAAAAAACTTGTAGTTGACCCAGCAAGGCTCATGTATTGTTCAAACATCGTTGGGGAATAAAGACTGTGCTTGAGTTAAATTTGAGTTCTGGACACATTCGGTAGTTACAGAGGACACTGTTTTGGCTGATGATCGAGGCAATTTGTGAGCACAAATTGGATCTGAAAGCGTACAAGAAATGTGATGCCACTGTGTGCAGAATTATATAGACAAATAACCTGAACGATGAGAAGTTTTACATTGGGAGAAGTGGCCTGCCTTTAAGAAATAGTGACATCCATCTACTGTTTGGTATCTAATTTAGGGAAGAGAAATTAGATTTGGCACACAGTGTGAAGGCCCCTTTGGATTTCATGCAAAGGCGATGTCCAAACATTGGCCAGATCTCTTCTAAAGTCGTTAAAGACCTACTGTTTGGCAATGCGTGGCAAAATCGAATGGGAAAAGGAGGATGTTGTGAAGCTGTTATGTCTGTACATATGGGCCAAACTATTTTTTGCCACAACAGGTGAGTCGATCGGTTAGGCGTTTGTATGTGTAATTGATAAACTTGAGACATTACATTCGTATGACTGGACTTCAGCGATCTGTGACGTGGTGATCAGTTCATTGAATGAGTTGCACATGAAACTGGAGTGGATTACCGATTGTTTTGTTGCATTACTGGTACGTTATTCTGAAATCAAACATAATTTAGCGCTCCTTGCATGCACATTAAAGTTTTTTGTATAAAGTTTGGTAACATTTTGCACAATGTTGTGGATTGTAGTTCTTTTTTGTGAGCACATGATGATTGTGGAACCTGAGACGTGAAACGTGTCACCAAGATTTTGCAGATGGAACATTGGTGCACTAATTAACAAGTTGAAAAATATGGACTTATCGACTGAAGGTTCCATCCAAGTATGCCACATTATTTAACGCGGACGTATTATTTTACTGAAATCATTTGAACTTGATGTGCATCTCGTTTTGTAAATGTTACAAGTTAACTGTGAGAAACTGCATGGGACCATCATTGAGCGTTATTTTATAAAG